CACCAGGTCCTTTCCGCTGTGCCTCAATTGGAATGTCTTCAGGGTCATCCTCACGCCCCTTCCCCCGATGGTACCACAGTGGTGAATGCTCCTTTCCCAGTGAGGCTCTGTCATGGTGCCTGGGTCTCCAGCATCCTCCATCAAATGGACTTAAGGATTTTCCACCCTTGGGAAGGCCTTTCTTTTTTTTTTTCTTTTCTTTTTTTTTTTTTTTTTTGGTTTTTCGAGACAGGGTTTCTCTGTGTAGCTTTGCGCCTTTCCTGGAACTCACTTTGGAGACCAGGCTGGCCTCGAACTCACAGAGATCCGCCTGGCTCTGCCTCCCGAGTGCTGGGATTAAAGGCATGCGCCACCACCGCCCGGCAGGCCTTACTTTTGTTTAGTAAAATTGTAACTTTAAACCAGTTCCACCCACCCCCATCCCTAAAGAAACAGAAGAACTCTGCTCCCTTGCCACGAGATGGCCCTGAGATATTTAAAGAACACCATTTTGGTTCTCATTCAGCATTTCTGCATCTAGGCACCGTGCCAAGGCCCCCTCAGCTACCTTCTTTCTCAGGAGGAGGATTTTCTCCTCCTGTTACTGATATGTTGCAGTTTCCAGCCCCCACTGCCCTTTTCTCTGCTGTTCATCGGGGGTACACTGTGTACAGCCCAACACAGTGCTCCACAGTGGTAACTGACAATACTCAGGCCAGCATTCTGGGCAGATGGAGGCATTCTGGGCAGATGGAGGTATGGACGATGGATAGATGGTGACTTGGCGGGAGGTAGTGTAAGGAACAGGAGCAATCGGGTCCCTGCCATAGAGGATCCCCGCCCCCAATGCTAGAATGACCAGGAAAAGCAGAGGTGGGGACTGAGGTCAAGGCTCAGATACTGAGTTGAGAGGTACAGAAGAACTAGCTTCTCTGGGCAGCAGGCCCAGGGAGTCTTATTTTCATGTTCCTCTAATATCTGCGTGGCATTTTACCTCTCTGAGTCTGTGGCCTCATCATGAAGTGTAAAAATTCCCCAAGGCCAGTTGCTGCCTCTAGCATGTGACCCCACGCACATACATGTTCATTCAGCAGATTCCTGCACGTCTGCCTTGTTCTAAGAAAAGCAGGAGACGCCAGTGTGGGCAAGTACACCAACTGGACTCCTGTCCCATGAACCACAGGACCCAGTGGGGGACAAATGACGAACAGATAATTGAACATCGCCGTTGGGAATGGACTGGAAAGCAGGGTGGAAAGGAGGCTTCTCACATGGGGTGGTCAAGGAAAGACCAGTTGAGAATGTTCCAGATTGAAGGGTAGAAAGTTTAAAGGCAGGGCAGAGGCAGGGGCTAGCAGGTAGGACAGGGTAGCTTGAAACACTGTATAAAAAGCAAGGGGTGTGGTCTATGGAGTGAGACCGGGCTGGTGAGCTGGGCAAGGGTAAGCTAGCCCAGGCCTTGGCCGCAGAAATGTCATTTCATCCTAGGAGCTCTGGGAGCTGTTTAAGGGGTCTAACTAAGGAAATGACCTGATGTGACTCAGGTGTGGACAGGCTGTGGCTAGAGCATAAGCCGGACAGAGCTGTCCCTGCAGAGGTCCCTGGGTTCACATCCTGACCCTGCCACTTTGTGTCTTATTGTCCTGGACAAATCCCTTAACCCGGTGCCTCAGTTTCCTGTTGTGTTGGCAAAAAGCATGGACTCTGAAGACAAACCAGAGTTGGCTCTATTTGTTGTTTTCATGCTGTGTGACCGTAGACAGTTTGGTGACCTCAGCGTCTGCATCTGTAAAATGAGGGGCGAGCACAGGAGCCACGTGAGTGCTTACACTTGTGATGCTGGAACACATGCCCACACTGGGAAACCAGGAGGGGACCTGGCGTTTAGAGGCTGCTCAGTAAACCTCAGCTGGTGCCACCACCGCCACTGTTGGCAAGGCTGGGATTATATGACGCATGACTGTGAATAAGCAAATTCCTTTTTCTGAGCCTTGGTTTCCACATCTGAGGGAGAGAACCCCTGTGCCCTCCGGCAGTTAAGATTAAATCTGTGCATATTTCCTCCAGCCTGTAGGGCCCCTTGGAGGTCAGCCACTGTGGTCCCTGTACAAGGCCTGGCAATAGTGAGGAGGGGCCTAGGTGCCCACTGTACTGAAGATGACAAGCAGGGCTTCCTTGTATATACTATTTTATTTAGATCTTCAACAGCTTCTGGAAAGTAGCATATGTCCATTCCAGTTGTACCAAGGAGAGACACCTGCCACAGGTCACCAAGGAATTGCTTATGGGTGATCATTCGTTAAGTCCTAGAAACAAAATGGCAGTGTTGGGCAGGGTGGGTGGTGTTCCAAAATCCACTTGAGAGCTCTTTTCAAAATCAGAGTTTTTCAAAGACCCATGGGCCCGATATTCTGACCATTTCACAGGAGCACAAACAGCTCAGGGAGATACCACTTGCCCAAAGCCACACATATCTGGCCCTCTCCACATCTAAGGTGTATGCAAGGCAAGTACTCTACCACTGTGCCACATATCCAGCCCTCTTTTTTTTTTCTTTTCTTTTTTTCTTTTTCTTTTGTTTTGTTTTTCGAGACAGTCTTTCTCTGTGTAGCCCTGACTGTCCTGGAACTCACTTTGTAGACCAGGCTGGCTTCGAACTCAGAGATAGATCCACCTGTCTCTGCCTCTAAAGTTCTGGGCCACCACTGGCCAGCACATTGCCTGAGTCTTAACTGCTAAGAAGTTGGAGTGAGTCTGGACCTGGAAGTCCAGCACCAAGTGTTCTCATCACAACTCAGCCTCAGGATGTCTTCTTAAAGGGGGCCTAAGGGCAGGTATGGCGGCACACTCTTTTAATCCCAGCACTCGGCAGGCAAAGGCAGGTGGATTTCTGTGAGTTTGAGGCTAGCCTGGTCTACATAATAAGTACCAGCACAGCCAGTGCCATGTAAAAAGATCCTGTCTAAAAAATAATAAACGCCGGGCCGTGGTGGCGCACGCCTTTAATCCCAGCACTCGGGAGGCAGAGCCAGGCGGATCTCTGTGAGTTCGAGGCCAGCCTGGGCTACCAAGTGAGTTCCAGGAGAGGCATAAAGCTACACAGAGAAACCCTGTCTCGAAAAACCAAAAAAAAAAAAAAAAATAAAATAAAAAATAAAAAAATAAAAAAATAAAAAATAATAAACAAACGAACAAGTAAGTAAATAAGGTGGGGTATACTGTCTGCATAGCACACGGGCATCTCTGTGATCTTTATCTTCTTTGCATATATAACCACAGAGGAACCATTCCCAAGAGCAGGGGGGACCACATGAGCGGCAGAGAAGAAAACGAACACTCTTAAAGTCAGTGAACATAGAGACAGCATTACGGCCCATGGCAAAGGATGGGGATGGTGGAAAAAGGAAAGGCCTAGCAGATGATTAGTCTTTTTTTTTTTTTAGTCTTAAAGAAGAGAAAATGGACTGGGTGGTGGTGACACACACCTTTAATCCTAGCACTCAGGAGGCAGAGGCAGGTAGATCTCTGATTCAAGGACAGCCTAGTCTACACAGTGAGTTCCAGGACAGTCAGGGCTACACAGAGAAACCCTGTCTCAAAAACAAAACAACAACAACAAAAAAAAAACCAAAAAAAAAAAAAAAAAAAAACAAAGAAGGAGGTGTTGGGGATGGGGGAGAAGAAGAAAAAGAAGAGAAAATGGGTGTACTCAGCAGAGAGAAGTGTTTTGAGGGCCAGGCATTTTGGTGTTAGGCCTGTTCTAGCGCTCAGGAGGCTGAGGTATGTAGATATAACCAACTGTCTTATTAAATAAGAAACACAGAACCGATTCAGAGAAAAAAGCCAAGAAGTCAGAGCTAAGAGCCTCACCCTTCCTGATTCAGCAATCCTCTTCAGCCAAGAGAGCTCTCCGAAAAAAAGGGGCCTACTTCCTGTGTGTATGTCTTTATATTGTCTAGCTGTTCTGCCTTCTCATTGGTTGTAAACCCAAACACGTGACTGCCTCGTCACTGCCTGAATGTACCGCCCTCCAGGTCCTTAAAGGCGTGTGCCACCGCCGCCATGCACTTGCTATGGCTCTAATAGCTCTGACCCCCAGACAACTTTATTTATTAACATACAATTAAAATCACATTTCAGCCGGGCGTTGGTGGCGCACGCCTTTAATCCCAGCACTCGGGAGGCAGAGCCAGGCGGATCTCTGTGAGTTCGAGGCCAGCCTGGGCTACCAAGTGAGTTCCAGGAAAGGCGCAAAGCTACACAGAGAAACCCTGTCTCGAAAAACCAAAAAAAAAAAAAAAAAAATCACATTTCAGTACAAGTAAAATACCACCACAGAGGTGGGACAATCACTCAGACTCAGGTAAGCTTGGGCAACAGAGCAAGACTCCATCTCAAAATGAATGAAGGAATGAATGGGTCGATTTGAGATTGGACATGGGGAAGGTTCAAGCACAGTGGTGTGAGGGGCCCTGAGAGCAGGACCTGCTGGGTGGTGTTGGGTCAGAGGAGGACCTAGAGCACCCTGCTGTTCCAGGACTGGGCTCTGTGTTGGTGGGTGATAAGTTTTTGCACTCCAATAAGCCTCTCTGCCAATGCAGCAATCCAAAACAGACCAAATTAGAAAAAGCCCCAGTTTAATGGGTAAAGCGTTCTGGAGGAGACAGGAGGAGAGCCTGGAAAAACCACGTGTCTGTTTTGGGGGGGGGGGAGCCGAGGGGGAGGGGGAAGGAGATGCTGTTTAAATACCCTGTAGGAGTGGTCTTGAGCCTCTCTGGGGGAGGAGCAGTGTTTGGCAGGCTTTGAAGGGCCGGGTTTGGGGAAGGAGATGGGGGAGGGGAATTGAGGTGGATCTTCCACCAGAACAGTGGGTAGCAAATGGAGCTCTGGGTTGCCAAGTTCCAGATCACACACCCTGCCTCCTCCCCGCTACCCACCAAAACCTCATGTTTCCCCTCTAGAAAATCTGCTGGTGGGTCTGGCTGCTCTGTGAGTTTTAGCTTTCTGTAACTTCTCCCTAGGGCATTCACCAGGCCTTTCTTCCGGAATGCCTGCGTGATCTTCGACCCTTCAGCCTTTTGAGCATGGGAACAGAGTTGATACGGGTGAGAAAAGAGAAGTTTTATGAGTTGATTGATGCAGAGACGAAAGAAAAGATAATAAAGATGGACGTGAATTATCCCAGGTCAGTGCTGGAAATGTTAGTAAGGCCTTTGGATCCACCGAACAAGGTTTTCTGTTAGCAAAAGAAAGCGTGTGGACGCATGTGGGCATGTGTGTGTGTTAGAACTGGTGTGATAGGATGAACTGGGTTGTTATTCTACTCAGAACAGTTGCAGTTTCTGATGCTAATTTCAGCGCCGTGTTTCAAAGAGCTAGCTCTAAAACCATCTCTAAAAGCATCTCTGCCCTCTGAGTCAGCCATTCTCTTGTGAATTTGTCTGTATAAAGCCAAAAGCTACATACATTAAGATGTGCATAGCCCTAACATCCACAATGAACAGTGACGGTCACCCACATGTGTCCCACGGAGGAGACAACTTAGCCAATGGCGCTGCATTCGCTTGAATAGAAGATACTGTTGGAGCCAGAGAGATGGCTCTGCCCTCTAGGTAGAGTCCAATCAACAGGACAAAAGAAACTGGGACTGGAGGAGAGACAGTTAAGAGCACTGGTTGCTCTCGCAGAGAACCCAGGTTTCTTTCCCCTGACCATCTGTAACTCCAGTTCCAAGGGACCCATGCCTTCTTCTGACCTCTGAAGGCACACACATGCTGCACAGACATACAGCCAAGACACATAGCATAAATAAATCTTTAAAAAATGTTTTAAAAAGAGAAATTGACTAGATAGGCATTTCTGCTAGTGTAGGATACAGACGGATTGGGGTCCCAAGGAAACCCAGGAGAAATGGCTAGTTGAGGTGCCTGTTAACATATCAAAGAGGACACTGGCCAGCTCTCCCAGCATCCCTCAGTACCTGCGGCTCCTCCCAGCTCTCCCAGCATCCCTCAGTACCTGCGGCTCCTCCCAGCACTTCTCACCCCACCCCCAACCCTAAAACCTCTCCCTCCCAGGGACTTGGCTTCCGAGGTCTCTGGGCGGCTGCTGTCTCCTAGCAACGCCCTTCTCTTCCACTCTTGCTCACCACCCCCACCCCCACACACACCCCACACACCCCCACCCCTACACCCCCCACCCCACCCCACACACCCACCCCCCCCTCCCACCCCCCGCCTCCCAGGTCTGGTTTATTCTGTTGGCCATGTTCAATCTGGACCCTTCCCAATGCCTTTGGCTGTACTCTCCCTCATATCTACAATAAGCCTTCTCCACCACAGTACCTAGGGGCAGTCATGGCCTCATTTTTTTCATTCAGACTGATGGCAGGGTGTTTTCAGGTGTACACAGGTTTTGTGTGTATGTGAAAATTTTAACCATTTATTTTTTTAAAAAATTTAAATCAGTGCACATGCATTAGGTTTCATTGTAGCGTTTTCAAACAAAATTTATTTTGTTAGTTCTCTTTATTTTCTCCCCTAAGCCTCTGTCTCGCCCCTGTTCCCTTCTGCCCCACACCTACTTCTGTAGTCTTGACACTATGTACAGACTCTAGTGTGAACCAGAGAAAGAGCATTAGGAACTCACTAAACACTGGACTGGACTGATCTGTTACTCAGGGCAGTGAGACATTTAAGTGGAGATACTGAAGCTGGGCATGACAGCTTATGCCTGTGATCTCAGCACTTGGGAAGTAGAGACAGGAGGTCAGGAGTTCAAGGCTATATAGTGAATTTGAGAACATTCTGAGCTACATGAGGCCCTAACTCAAAACAAAAACAAAAACAAAAGAAACGGAGTAGATTAAAGAAAAATTATGAACAAATCAAAGAACAGTTTGTATGTAGACATGGCCAAAGTTGGGGCTATTGGGGAGAGAAACGGGTTGAAAATCGCTGGTTGCACCGGGCGGTGGTGGCGCACGCCTTTAATCCCAGCACTCGGGAGGCAGAGCCAGGTGACTTTCTGAGTTCGAGGGCAGCCTGGTCTACAGAGTGAGATCCAGGACAGGCACCAAAACTACACAGAGAAACCCTGTCTCGGAAAAAAAAAAAAAAAAAAAAGAAAGAAAGAAAGAAAAAAATCGCTGGTGGCTTCTTCCAGCCATTCTCTTCTGGATCTTGAGTGTGACTATTAAAAATGGTCTTCTAGGCCAACCTCCTGAATGAAGGGTCTAAGGAGCCTCAGCTCTCCCATGATGCATCAGGCAGGGTAAGTGTTTGTGGAGGTCGGCTCCCTGGAATGTGCAGCTGTTTGGAGAAGTTGCCCTTGTACTGCTTGGCAAGCACCTCATGGTGCCATCTCTACGCTGCCAGACAGGATTCTGTCTTCACTAATTGTTGAATTTATGGTGTCCCAGACTGTCCAGTCACGCAGGACATAGATCCATCAGGTAGCTCAAATGCCTCATATTTAAACCGAGACACCTGTCTTGTGAATGCCATAAGCTAGACAACTTAAAAACTCTCCCTTCATAGTCTAAGAGGTCATGGCACACAGAATGAAACCAAGAGCTGATACAGCCACAGTTTAGGAGAGGCTGGGGTTTGGAGCAGGACACTCGCTGTTCTGTTTACTCAAAAAATAGACTAGAAACCAGTGTGACCCACAGTGCCCATGGGTGACATGCAGTTTTATCTCTTGGACTCTGGGTCCAAAAATAAATGGTCCTGTAGGAATGTGTAATTATGTGCTTATCCCTCGTAGGTTTTGGCAAGTTCTTTTGGCCTCTTCAAGCCCATAGTTCATGTCTGTAAAATGGGTTAGTTGTGAAAACTGAAGACTCAGCCCATGTAGCTGGGCGTAGTGATTCATGCCTTTAATCTCAGCAAAACAAAAGAAATTGGGGTTGGATCAATGGCAGGAGGCAGAGGCAGGCAGATCTCTGTGAGTTCAAGGCCAGTCTGGTCTACAAAGGGAGTTCCAGGAGAGCCAGGGCTGTTACACAGAGAAACCCTGTCTTGAAAAACAGAAAAACAAACAAACAAATAAAACCAAAAGAATAAAACAAAATAAAAAAGACTCGGCCAGTGTAAGGACTGGGCATGTGGTAAACGCTAGGTCAGAATCAGATAATATTCTGTGTTGTGTAAGGAGATGTGAGTTAATAGAACTTTTGGAGAGGAGACCATCCAGGCCATGTGCTGGTAAATGTCTGCCAGCCAGGTTGCTAGGAGGCAGGGGACAATCTTGCCAAGTAACATGTGCTGATTTCTGTGGTGTGAATATACCATCCAGCCAATTTCCAGCTACCAACATGATGTCACTCAACATGGCATTGAGAAGAGATGCCCACAGTTAGCTTTCATGAGTGGGTAGGGACGTTACTGAGACTTGAAGGACTTTGTAGCCCATCCTGACTGCTGGGTGTTTTCTTAGGTTGAGTTCTAGGGATCACAACTGCCTTGGTCCTGATCAATGTCGGTTAGACAGGGACTGTTCATGGTTACCGGTGAGGTGTTAGGCTTCACATCCTTTCGCAGGTGAGACCAGATGAATCGGAGGAAGTTTGGCAATGCCCTTCCCTTGCTGAGGTATCAGAAGGAATGAGCCAATAAGTCCTGAGCCCATCGAACCCTGCCTCCTCACCCTCCGATGCTGTGAGGGAGGCGCCCGGGTAGGATTAGGACACCAGGACCAGCCCAGGGCAGCCACTGTCTCCTTCTCTCAGATTTGTCTGTTCTGGAAATTTCATGTAAAAGAATAATTTTACGTGTGTGTGTGTGTGTGTGTGTGTGTGTAAGAGAGAGACAGAGACAGAGACAGACAAACACAGAGAGAGACAGACAGACAGACTTTGTCTTTTCATCAGCTGACAGACATTTGGATTATTTCTGCTTTTCACTGTTACGAACAATGCTGTTGGGAACGTTCTTGTACAGGTCTGTATACGAACATGCTTTCATTTCTCTTAAGTGTATTTATTCTTGGTGGCAAATTGCTAAGTCACGTGGTAGCTGTACATTAACCTTCTGTGAAGCTGTCAACCTGTTCTCCGAAGTGGCTGCACCAGTTTACACCCCTCAGCCCTCACTCCAGATTCGGAATCTCCATGCTTCTGGTGGTAGCCATTTTAGTGGGTGTGAAGGGTCTTGCTGTGGTGGTCCCCTCATTCCACTGTAGCTTTTATTGACGTTTCTCAAAAGCTAATGATCAATAGCTACATTATTTTTTTCTGATGGGATCTTGCTATGTAGCCCAGGCTGTCCTAGAACTTGCTGTGTAGACCAGGCTGGCTTCAAACTCATGATCCTCCTGTCTCTTGAGTGCAGAGATTACCAGCATGTGCCATGACCAGCTTTCCAATAGTCTGACTTATTATTTTCACTTATTTTATTATTGTATGTGTGTCTGTATGTGTTCATGATGTGTATGTGTGGGTACATATGTGCCATGGAGCTCATATAGAGGTCAGTGGATAACCTTGTGAGTTAATTTTCTTTTTCCACCTTTACATGGGTTCTGGGAATTGAACCCTGGTTACCAAGCTTGCATGACAAGCATTTACCCCCTGAGCCATCTTGCTAGCCTGTTATGTTTGGCCTTTCTGAAACAGAGTTGTATTATGTAGCCCAGACTACTTTCAAATTCACCATGTAGCCCAGCCTAGCCTCAAATTCAGTGATCCTCTGGTGTCTGTTTTAGAAGTACCGAAATTATAGGCATACACCACCATCTCCAGTTTATCCACAAAAATTAACTTCAGTCTACTCTATTGGATTCAGTATATCAAAAGTATCACTTCAACACATCAATTTGAAAATTAATAATTCGCATTTCTTTATGTCGTGTGTCTAATTCACACTGGCCATATTTCAGGCACTCAGGAGCCCACCAGCGACTCCCGGCATGAAGGAGGGCAGCACAGGCTTCAAGAACTGAGTTAGGAGAAAGGCAAAGGAGGTGGAGAAATGGGGGGAGAACGGGGCAGGGGGCAGAGGGTGTTTAGGCTTTGAAAGGAGCGGTGGAGGAATCCGTTTGGATGGAGGGCAGAGGCCAGGAGGAGCCCTAGAGCATAGCGTCTGTGTTTGCCCTTCAGTGATGAAGAGCTGTGTCAGAGGTTCCTGAAAGAAAACAGCTGGAATATCTTCCGGAAGGATCTGCTGCGGCTGCTGGTGAAGCCCCTCAATAAGCAACCCTTCATCCCGATCCGTTCCAAGAGGAAAGAGATCTACAACCCTAAGTCTTTGACCCTGGATTTGTGTAACCTCAACAAGAGGGTGAAACCACGCTATCCTGTTTTTGTGGCACCCCAGAAATACCTATCCCCCTTGAAGATTGTCCAAGCTGTTTCAGCACCCCGGCACAAAATTCAAGAACTCCTGCCTCAATATAAAAATGCAGGGGTCCTCCTTTAGAATCAATAAAGTACGTTGGGATTGGCTTCTCTGTTTCCTGGATGGCCACCGTGGGAGCTGCAGGCTTAGGATGGGGAAAGCTGGAGGATCAGCCAGTAACTTGAGAGGCATGATCTCCCTTGATACTAGTGGGGTGGAATGAGGACATGGATGCCCAGGAGCCTGGGGTGTGTCTATTACTAGGGAACCAATGTGACCACTCCTCATCTAGATGGAACTCCTTCACTTGAGTCAGCGGATGCTGTGCCGGGAACCAACGCAGGCCACCTATTGTCAGTCAATACACTATGTAAGAAAATCAAGAAACCCAATATTTTAGATTATGCCTACTGTTTTTTTTTTAAAAAAACATGAGCAACTAATTTAAGATATTTTAAATAAAACACATGGGATGTCTTAGACAGCCAGCTGTGGGCGAGGCTTCTCTGGCTGAGTTGGCATCCTGTGGCTAGCAGAGGCCCACCAGAGACAAGCGTTCACTGGGGACCGAGTTCAGGAAGACTGCTTGGTCCCTCTGGTATCCCTTAGTTTGGGGCACCTGCCCCATGAAGCCTCATACCACAGAGGAAGCACCATGCCACCTCTCCACATGAGCACCCCACAGGAGCCTGAAAGAGATTGCCAGAGTGCAGGAGCCCTCTGGAACCCCATGGCTATGGCCACGCACACTCACTTGCCACCTAGCGAAGAATGGCCTGGGCTGTAGATTTCGAGTTAGGAGCCCAGGAGGGCCTGGTGCCGTCCCTCCCTGGGGCCCCCTGAATACCATGGGTCAGTCTAGCACCTGCAGTTCTGTCTCTCCTGTACTGAGCAGAGAAAGCTGGTAAGATCAATGGGATGAGTAGACCCAGAATTGACTAGTTTTAAAAGATATATGTTCAACAGTAGATATTTTTGTATTAAAAACCATTTTCTTATGTATTAAACAGGAATAAGATTTTTTTTTTTCAGCCAGGCAGTGGTGGCACACGCCTTTAATCCCAGCACTCGGGAAGCAGAGCCAGGAGGATCTCTGTGAGTTCAAGGCCAGCCTGGTCTACAGAAGCGAGATCCAGGACAGGCACCAAAACAACATAGAGAAACCCTGTCTCGAAAAAAACCAAAAAAAAAAAAAATTTTTTTTTCCCCCTCAGAGGAGAACGTAGATGTTATAAATGGTGGACTTCAGGGTTTTGACTCTCCAGTGACTCGAGAGAGTCAAGAATCAGGGACACCTACGCAGGGTGAGGTGGCAAATACCTCAATCCTTGCACTGGGGAGTGTGAGGGCAAGAGGGGCAGGAGTTAACTAGTGTCCTGGTTAATTTTGTTGTCAACGTGAAGCACCTGAAAAATTGCCTTTAGTGGACAGGCCTGAGGGCGTATCTGTGGGACATTTTCTTGATTGTTAATTGATGTAGTGGGGGCCCAGCCCATGGTGGGTGTTGCCATTCCTGGGCCTGTGGGCCTGGGCTGTGTAAGAAAGGTAGTTGACCATGAGCCTGGAAGCAACATTTCTCCATGGCCTCTGCTTCAGTTTCTGCCTTTGGTGTCCATGGATGATGAACTATAACCTCTAAGCCAAATAAACCCTGGTTTCCTCAAGCTGTTTTCAGTCAGGGTGCTTAGCACAACATCAGAAACCAAACTAGAACAAGAAGTTCATGGTCATCCACAGCGGATATCCTGGGCTACATCATCCACAGCTACACAGTGAGTTGGAGGACATCCTGGGCTACATGAGACCCTGTCAGAACACAACACAAACAAGAAGTCTGAGGCATCAACAGTCCTTCAAAGACCAGGTACCACTGTTTGGGGGCTAGGGAAGTGGGGGTGCCTCACTGAGATCTCTTTGGGCTGAGGGTGGTGGTGTAGACGTTTTCATTCATGAGAGGTGTGCTTATTGGCCATTGCTCTGAGGTAGCTTCAGAGGATGAGGCACTCTGTGTTCTCTAGGCGAGGACTCTGTAGCTGGAAAGAGCCAGGTGGTACATATTTTAGGCTGCGTAGGTCCTGTGGTCCCTGTCACAACAGTCAGCGCCACCTCAGGGAAGCAATGGTAGAGACTACGTAAACGAGTAGGCATGGCTGGTGACAAAATCGGCTGTCGTTCTGACCTTACCGATAGGCCGTAGTCCGCTGATCTCTGCTCTGGGGAGCTGGGGACTTTGAAGATTCTAGCAGCTATAACTTGGCCAGAGAAAAGGAGAATGACTAGTAAGAACGAGCACTCACAGGACAGCCATCTTGCTGAGTACCTGACTGTGGGGTCCAGTGACCTGCTGGGTCCTGCCAGCTCCGCCACTTTGGGCTGTTGAGGTGATATGTGTATGACAAGGTGAAGTTTTTGTTCATCAGGAAATATGGGTCCCACTTCTTGAGAAGTGAAAGAACAAGCTTCCAGAATGTTCTTGTTCTTCCACATGTTCTCTGTGAGAATGATGGGTAAGAAATGGACTCAAAGCAGTGTGTGGTGGCTCCTGCCTTTAATCCCCAAACTCCAGAGGCAAAAGAAGGAAGACCATTCAAGGCCTCAGTGAGATGTATAGAGACCCTGACTCAAAAACCAAAATGACGAGAGGAGAGCTGAGGGGAAGGGTAGGAAGGAGGAGGTTAAAGAGAGGAGATAGTGGGCTGGAGGTCCTGAGTTCAATTCCCAGCAACCACATGGTGGCTCCTAACCATCTGTAATGAGATCTGGTGCCCCCTTCTGGCCTGCAGTCATACATGCTGTATACATAATAAATAAATAAATCTTTGAGAGAGAGAGAGAGAGAGAGAGAGAGAGAGAGAGAGAGAGAGAGAGAGAGGAGAGAGAGAGGAGAGAGAGGAGATAGTAGTCCGGGCAGTGGTGGTGCACGCCTTTAATCCTAGCACTCAGGAGGCAGGGGCAGGTGGATCTCTGTGAGTTCGAGGCCAGCCTGGTCTACAGAGTGAGTTCCAGGAAAGGCACCAAAACTACACAGAGAAACACTGTCTTGAAAAACAAACAAGCAAGCAAACAAACAAAAAAGCCAAAAAACAAACAAATAAAAAAAGAGGAGATAGCGATGTGGGTATGGGAGGGAGGGATTGAAGAACACCGTGGGGTAAGGGCCTGAGTGATTACAGCCTTGGGTAACCAGCCCCAAGCCTGCACACAGGGCTTGTAAGGAATCCACAGCATTGGCAAGGCAAAGACTTTCCTATCAGAGGGGTTTTAGGGAGGGAAAACATTCACACATTCTCTCATCTTGCTGTTCTCTCACGTTGCACTCTGCTGCTCCTGTTCCCTTCCCCTCCACACTCAAACACTCTAACTTCTGATGATCCAAGAACACCTGCAGCCCTCCTTTGGGGCTACAGAGTCAAATTATTTTCTGTAGCCTTGACTAGTCAGAATTTATTTTTACAAATGGAGGTCAGGAATGGGTGCAAGGACTTAATCATTTGCCAGCTAGCAATGATTGGACTGTTTTTGTATTTACAATCTAGCCAGACAGTACAGCTGTGCGTCCTTATGAACGAGATAGGAAATGTTTATCTAAAAAAACCATTAGCAAGGCATCTGGTCTAATCTCAAGCTTTTTGAAGCTTTGTATCAGCTAGTGGTACCATGAAATTAAAGGAATTTGAACCATACTGGCTCCCAGTTTATCATTAATTTGAGTTGCGAGCCAAAGCAGCCAAAGCAGCATCTAGGGGGAGTTTATGGGCAACTGTGTAGCATATCCTTGTATTCATTTTTATTCATCAAAATTATATAGCTTAAGGAGTCATCTTTTTGACAATCCCCAGATATAAATGCTCATTAGATCGGGATATTTTCATGAGATAAACACACTACAGTACAGGTAGTGGGGGACTCCCCGCACACATATACATTATATCAGATACCAAAGGTAAGCAGAAGCAGAGGATACTCTGGAGTCTGTGTTCTCACAAGCTTCACTTAAATGAGATGTACCCATCAGAGAGTCTTTCTTCTGGTGGGCTGACACCTGAACTTCAACTGCCACCACCACAGCCACTGCACTGAGTGAGGAGTGGGCCTCAGGAACTCATGGAACAGAGCACAGTTCTCTAAGGCCCCAGCTCAGTGGCAGGGATTGAGAGGAAGGATATCTCCAGACAACAGGGAACTTCTGTGTGGCTGCCCCTATGAACTCAATGACCAAGCATGCACGAGCTTCCACTCTACCCCATCATATTAGGGTCAAACACACTGGAAGTCCTTGGTACACATCAGAGGTGGCTAACCATTTAACCATGATCCATATAACCAGGGACAGCTTCCCCGACCAATGGAACAGGCGTCAGAGCTGAGTCTCACAATCAGAAATAAAGGCCATCAGCAGATGGTTTGGGGTGCAAGGGGGCAAGTTGGCATCTCAGCCCACGCCACCCTCTTCTCTAATGACCTGGCTGATGTCAACATTAAAGGGTAGGTAGCCTGGCAGGAAGAGATCAGAAATGTCACTCACCTGTTGGTTGACAATGGGAGAGGGTGCTACTTAAAAGGGGGTAGGGACAGTTAGGGTGAGACAACCTCTGAGCTTCTAGGCTGAGGGCTGCAGAAAGGGCAGTTTCCCAAGCCTCTCTGCACCCTCACCCCACCTGAAATACTTTGCAGCAGATATCGGGGGTCAGCATCAATCAGGGAGGACAAATCAGGACTTATTTGGGAGAGTTCATTCAGAAGGTAGATATGCTGCCCCTTGGCACAAGTGTTAGCAAGAGATTATGGTTTCACACTGCAAAGACCTTAGCACAGACCCACTGACAGGTCTGGAGTTCTAGGAAGCCCACCCTTTTATTCCCAAGAAAAGGAAAGGGGCTGGGCCTCGTAGAATATGACTACACTCAGGAGGCTGAGGTAAGAGGCTCACCACAAGTTTGAGGCCAGCCTGGGCTATAAAATAAATCCAGGCCAACAAGGGCTACACAATGAGACCCTATCAAAAATAAACAAAAGGCAAACACCAGAAGAACCTATGCTTAAGCATGACTGTGTGTGGTGCTGTGTGTGTTCTGGTCTGGCTCCTATTATTATTATTATTATTGAG